ATAAGTAGGCTGGGGATATAGCTCAGTGCACAGGCCCTGGGTTGGATCCCCAGCTATTTTTTCTTTAATTCTACTTCATAAAACTGTAGCACATTTAGACTGGTTCACCCAGGAGACCTAGAAACATGTTCGCTCTTTCTGAAAAGGGCAAAATTCACACGTGATTCTGCAAATAAGGATCTTGCACCTTCGTGAGAAGCTGATGAAGACCACTGCCTTCCAGGCCAGGAAACAGCTCTCTTCAGCGTCCTGCCATGTTTACGATTTATTTCTAAGGACTAACACTGTAAGTAATGGTAGATGGCAATCAGCGGGATTCACTGCACAGAGAGAGATAGGAGTCTTGGGGTTCCAAGGAGTGACCAGGTCAGGGACATACCCAGAGCCCAGGTTTCCTCACAATTCCTCCTGAATTGAAAATGACACCAGCCCTGTCTTGCTGTCTGCTAGTCTGGTCTGAGGATCTAAGAATACATTAATATAAAAACCTTTGCTACTCTTTCTATTCTTACAAACCTTACAATGGTCACCAAGGTGTGACGCTTTCTGTGTTCTCACGGATCTGTTGGATAGATTGGCAATATCTAAGGATCTGAAAATATGAACAGCTTTCAGTATTGGCTTATTCCTTGCAACATGCTAATAATAAAACAAAATTTTCTTCTATAAAGATTGGGATCAGGAGTTCTTTGAAATTCAAGACAGGGTGTAAATTGCCGCAAAGGGTCTCTTTAATTGGGATCAAAACATTTTTGACAGCTTTTGGATTTTAAAATTCTAGCTATTGTCACGTTCTGCAAATGTTTCTTTTCTCAGCTTTTTTTTTAAGTACAGTCAAGCTTGAGCAAAAATACCTTCGACAAGATAAACAACTAAGATTTGTCATTCCAAATGACAAAGAGCCAGTTTTCCATTTCTTTGATATGTAGAGAAAAAGACTGCACTTAGCTTCCCTTCCTGCACAATTCAGCCAATCCCCTGCTGGGCAAGGACAGAGGATCAGTAAACTGTGCCTGCTCACCATCTCTCACCCAGGGTTTTCAAAGAAAGAACATCAATGCACAGCACTTGAAGCTAGACACGGAGTCTTAAAACTCTCAACCCAGAAATCAACTTAGATGATGTGGCTCTGCATAACTCCTCACCCACTCACTACCTGACTTCTCTGGACAAATATCCCATCATCTGGTTGTGGCTGGATTACCTCGGATGGTGAACTCTCAGAGAAGTCCACTGATGTCACTGCTGGGAGACTCTGCCCTAAACTGGAACTGCCTCATAGAAACGTCTGTTAACAGGTCCAGATCCACTCCTGGAGGTTCCACAGGGCAAGTCAGCTCCTACTATGCAGCCCTTAGGAGTTTTCTCATCTCTACTGCAGATTTACACAAATTCGATCCATCTGACCCTTTTTTCCACGGCCTTGTGCTGAGGCATATTAATGAGGTAAGGTTGCAGAATCTCGCTGCGACCGGGGCCTCATGTTAACCAAACAGATCCAGAGTAGACTAAGCCAGACAGAAAACATTTAACTGCCTGTTTCCTGATTTTCCACTAGGGATCTGACATTTTCTCCACCAAGCCAAATAGTTCCAAGGCAGAAATAATGATTTGACTAGTGTATTTTTTTGGGGTGTGTGTGTGTGTGTGTGTGTCCATCCATATAAAGAATTAAAAACTCTGCTCCACGGTGGTTTGCTAATATCTTTTAGGGGCCAGTTTAGTCACCTTTGAGAGGAGGTAGATAAAGGTAAAGAATCTAACTCTCTTTTTTAGTTAAAACCCAGGTGATTAGGGTTTTAATTATCTGGGCACATTCTAGACAATGGTGGAGTGCATGCAGCCTGAACCTTAGCCCCAGAGAAGATAAAATGCTTAACACCCTGTGGTCCTGTTTTGTGTCATCCCTCTGACTGTGCCAGGTGTCATGGTAATTTAATAGACAGGGCCAGAGCTGGGAAGGGGCTGGAGATGACATCCTCACGCTGGGACACATAAATCACTATGAAAGAATCCCTTACTTGGCCCAGCACAGTCACTTTCGTCCTCCTGACCAGGATACCCCTCGATCTGCCAGGATCTTTTTGAAAAACTGAGCACAGGTCTCTAAAATGCAATCTTTCCAAGAAAGGGAAACATTTCCTTGGTTTCTGAGACCTTATTTGTTGGAGGCAGGAGAGGTGCAGGTTAAGCTCATTTTCTACCCATGGTTGTGCTTTCCTTCTAAATTCCCTTCTTCTACCATGAGTTTGCAGGTAGGCCCACCCTTTTGAGTTAAATTATACAGATTTTTGATTTAGGCCAACCTGATGTTACATCTCCACTCTGTCTCCTACTCTCTGGGTTGTATTGTAAATATATATATATATTTTTTTTTTCATTTTCTGAATATTATGATGTTTTGACATCCTGAAAAAAACAAAAACAAAAACAAAAAGCTTTTCTGGCTATAGAGACACCACCCCTCCCAGAGCTATACTAGTTCTTAGCTAGAGTCTATCTGGGTCAGTGTCTATGACAGGCAAACTAACCAATCCAGAGCCAGACTCCTCCAACTGGTCCCTATCCTTTCGTCATCCTGCAGCCAGGTGCCAGCACCCAGGACTACCCTGGCTCAGAGCCAGGTGAGAACATTCCAATCAGCTAATTCGGACTGTCTACCCTGCCCTACTAGTACTTCGTCCAGTACAGGCCATGGCCCAAAGGCTCCCTCCATTCTCACCTTTTGCCTTGACCACCTTGGGGTCTCCCACGTATCCCTGGGTGGCACACTAGGACTTCTTAGTACAGTATATTGTTTTTAACTCAGCCTCCCCTGAAACTTCTTTTAAGGCAGCACCTGCCCGACTTCCTCATAAAAATATGTAACGGGGATTTAGAAAAGTCACTTATCCAGAGATAACCAGTATCACGGATGACCAAAAGGACTTGTGGGCCAGACTGTCTGGGTTCTAATCCTATCTCTGCCACCACTTATGCTCAGCAAGTTATGGAAGCTTTTCTGTCTTTGATGCTTCCAACTATTAAATAGAGAAAATGGTACCAGCACCACACAGGTGACGAAACAGCTTGACACTGATAAAGAGTTTGCAACCATGCCTGGCATAGAGTGTACAGTTGGTGAAGTGGCTTGTTTATGGCTTGAGTGTATCTCTTAAGGGTTTCTGTGATGCAGGCTTGGTCTTTAGTATGGCAACATTAGGAGGCTGGGGGGCTCCTGGGAGGGCTTTAGGCTCATTCTGGAAGGAGGCTCCCCTCATTAAGGATGCGGAACCCCTGGCTTCTGGCTTTCTCTTTTCAGATATAATCTCTTCCTCCTACACATGCTCTCATTGTTGGAGCTCTACCAGCTACCAGGTCCTCCCCCACGCCAAGCTGGTGCTCGGGCTGTGTGCCTTCGAACCTCTAGAACTGCAAGTGACATAAATCTCCTTTCTAGATAATGGTAGTTCACGTCTGTGTTTCACCACAGGAACAGAAAACACATGAATACGGTAGCTGCTCTTATCTCACAGAATTGTGAGGTTATGATGGCGTAAAATGACAAAGATGTGTCTCATAAATGGGAGGTATTCAACTAACTGTATCATGACTAATTACTTTTGATTGTAAAATACATGCAACATAAAATTTACCATATTAACTATTTTTAAGGGACAATTTAGTGACATTCTGTAATTCATTTCCTGTCATAGCAATCATCACCATGCATCTCCAGAACATTTTTGTCTCTCCAAACTGAAACCCCATCCCTACTGAACAAGACCTTCCTGCTCCTCCTTTCCCCTGAACCTTGGAAATCATCATTTCCCCTTTCTGTCTCTATAAGCTTGACTATTCTAGGCACCTCATTTAAGAAGAATTGCAGTGTTTGTCATTTTGTGCCTAGCTTATTTCATCAGCATTCTATCTTTAGGCTTCATCTAGGTTGTAGCCAAGTACCTGAATTAAGTCTCCATAACCATCCATTTTATGTCTGTACTCCATTTTGTTTATCTAATCATGCATCAATGGACACTTTCGTTGCCTCCACCCTTTAGTTTTTGTGAATAATGCTGTTAGGAATAACGTTGGTTCTCATAGTAGTTATTTAAAAGTAACATTTCTTCAAGGAAGACCCTTTTTACTTGTAAAATTATAATCCTAGCACTCTTATAATACTAGGCAGAACAAGCAAAAGAAACTAATAATGCAAAATGACTGAGGTCAAGTAACTTGGCTGGTCCGGTTGTACATAAAGTGCTTGATAAATTATCTTTGGAGAGTTCAAAGAAGGTGTTTTATAAGCTGTGAAGCATGGAAGAAATAAGAGGAAAAATGTATCCATTGGAGCCTCCCTTTCTCAGCCCAACATCATCGAAGTTTTTTTTCATTTTTCCCTACCACCAATGAGTAAGACCCTCTCTAACAGTGTCAGGCAAGCTCTGGGCGTGAGACTGGGGTTACTCACAGAAGTGAAGCTGATGAAAACACAAACCATTTCTTTGGTGGGTTCAACAAACACATCAGCCCTTACATTTCTTGCTTGTACAGAGATGGATTTTTTAATGATTGAGAACTCTATTTATTCTTTTTTATTACAGCAACTGCAACGTGCTACAGGTTACACTCAAGAGGGTATGGATGCTTTGGCCGAGCTCAAAGTCCTATGTGTGTTGTGTCCCCTTGCGGGAAGCATATCATCAAAGTTGCTAGCACACCAAGAAATGTAACTTAAATTGTCACAACACCACTGCTCTTCAAGGCCCATCAATCTCCCATTAGATCACCAGGTTGATGTGGCACTTATATCACAATTACACTATGAGGAGCACAATACAGTCACACTGTGGCCAAGTCACAAGAGACTTGCTTTGACGGACAATCACAGTTGATTGAGTGCGTCAGTTGCTTTATGTGTTTTTATGCTTGTTTGATATTCCTACACAGCGAGTAGAGGCTTCAAGGCCACATCTGTCAATGGGTTTAATTTCACACTGCCGGGTGATTCTTTTACTTACCCCTGTCTTTTCATCAAAGATTTTGATTCCTCCAAAGGAGATGGTTAAAAAGATTTTCTGTTTGTGTTCTCCTTTGGAACGAGCGCCAGCAACAACACCCTGTTGAAAGGAAGGACATGTTTTTACTTTAGTGTCTTCAGTTGAAAATTCCCTGTGGTCACAAAAGCATGTCAGGTATCGTCAACTAATGTCACTAATCATGTGTATGCCTTTCCTTTGCCCTTCCGGTTTTGCCACACAACATGCTTGCATCTGGAAGGGATACAGTACCCCTCACTCATTGTTCTTTCCCTGCCTGTGCACGCTGAAAGGAGCAAGGCATTTCCGGGAATCTGAACCAGGGGCTGCTGCCCACTCTGCACTCTGCATATGGAGGCTCCCAGCCCCTCCTCACTGTTCTCCTCCACAGTCTGCAAGATGAAGCCCACTCTCAGCTCTCATGGCACTGGGCAAGGTTTGGGGCAGTGGCAGGTAGTAGAGGGCAGCAGGTGTGACCACAGACACAGGGAAGGGACAGGCTTCTGAAGTTGACTGACTGTCCACACTTTGGGTGTTGGAAATACTCTTTGAGTCAGAATATCTGATTATGCTCCTGGTTCTGCAAAATCATGGACAAACTGCTTATCCTTTTAGTTCCACTCCCCAAGTTTAAATACTTTTTTTGCATGGTTGAGAGAATCCATTGAAAATTTATGTAAAGCACCTAGCCCAATGCCTGCTAGGTACTATGGTGGTATAATAGAGACAAGTTTCTAGTAATGAATGCATTCCATTACAGTTGGAGGTCCAGGTTCTTCTTGGAAACAGACCCCTTTATAACTCACCAATTAATTCTCAAGAACATTTTACTCACACACCTACAGAATGTTACAGTCAACAAACAAGCAAACATCCTCTGCAGTGAACAGATTCTAGTTTCCCAAATAAGGGTGAGAAAAAATAATATTCTGAAATGAGGTGGACAGTTCTGAGATGGCTCAAAGAACTGGTGAAAGAGCTGAGACCAAGACTCAGCCCTCCAATGTCCCTGGGCTGTTCACAATTACTGGTCTGTACTTTGTGTCTGTTTTCCGAGGAGCCAGATTCTCTCTCCTTGCAACTTATATCTATGGTTTCTCTTGCAGCTCAGGACTGTCGCACCTCCACACGAGACCCCTGTGCTGACCGATGCCACAAGCGCACAGACAGACAGGGACACACGCTCAAACCAAAGTGCTTTGCCTCTGTCATCTCCCCCACACCCCCTCTCCTTCATGGTTTCTAGATACTTCAATTTGCAACTTGCTTTTTAGCTCACTGTGGATGCCTTGAAGGAACACAGAGGGATGATCAGTGGTTATCTTTGGAATCCCAGAAGTAACTCCTACTTCAGGTCAACCACTCCCTCTGACTCCTTCAAATGACACAGCCGGCCCTCACTCGCTGACTACTGCTGCACATCTCACATACATATGCACTGGCCTCCTTTGCCGACAGAATGAAAGCTCAGCTGTGACTAGAACTCTGTTTTATTCTTTTAATGGGCCCAGTGCTGAGAGTGCAACCTTTCTGAGCTAAACTTCCCTCATCTGGATAGTAACTGAGATGAAAGGTCAGATGCCAAACTCAGGAAAGATGGACATTAAAATCTGTGTTCTTGGGCAGATTTGAATAAAATGACATGTGCTGCACCTCTTCACCTCACCCCAACCTTCAACCTCAGGATTCCAGTCAGAGTAAGTAACCCTTTGCTATACTCTGAATATCTTCTTTCAGAGCCATTGGTTGAGATTTAGTTGCCAAGGAGACAGGATTTAGAGGCAGGGCCTTTGGGAGGAGATGAAGTCACAATGACAAAGCTCTCATAGATGGGACTGGAGTCTTCAGAAAAATACTTGAGAAAAAGGATATTTGTTCTTCTTTTGCTATTTCTTTTTCTGCCACAGGAGGACAGAGGAGTCACTCGTTTCCTCCCGAGAACTGACCATCTTGGTAGCAGAGAGACTGGACCCTCACCAACAATGACCCTACCAGCACCTTCATCTTGGACTTCCCAGCAACCAGACCTGTAAGGAAGTAAGTTCCTGTTCTTCTTAAATTACCCAGCACTGGTATTTTATGATAGTAGCACAAATGGACTAAAAGAGCTCCCTCATGGGGAAGGAAAGTACTAGAAGGACTGAATCAGAGGAAAATGGGGTCCCTTCTTCTTAATTCCCCCTGGGAGGGGACATCCCAGGGCACATCAGAGACAGGGCTGTACCTTTGGCTAGGAGTAGCAGCTTTAATGTTTCCACCTCCAAGAGTGTCCTCATAGTCCCTGGCTCAGTCTTTCTGCAACATCAACTAGTGATACCTCTTGGCACATGGTAGTGTCAACTAGACACTAAGCCTAAGGGAGTCACAGGTGGGCAGTGTCTCAGTGGAGGAGTCTGCATTTACAGAATACGTCAGGCAGGCCAGCAAGAATTAATATACTACCCTGTCTGGCTCAAGGAGAGCTATGAGAATCAGTTAAGATGACCCACAGGAAAGGACTTTGAGAAGACTCAGAGCATGAAGCATGCACAGGATGCTATAACCGTGATCGCCATGGCACACATAAAGCACAAGTGTAAATATGAAGACAGGAGACTTTAGGATGCCAGTCCAGAAAGCTCTGTGTAATCAGCTCGATCTCTGTTCTCAGTCTGCTACTTAATAGCTTTATGGTCTTAGCGGGGAAAACTCCATTCTAAATTGCACATCTCCTAGTTTAAAAAGGGAACACAAACATCTTTCTCTGTCCTGTTTTATGCCCCCAGAATCACTGCAGACTGTGCTCCCTGGGTCCTGGCCTTCATTCCCCTGGCTTCTAGTGGGTTTCACTATCCCAGACACAGGCAGAAGAAAAGAGGGTGGTAGGAAGGAAATGTCAGGGGAATTTTCTTTACTTCTGTCTCACCATTGATCTATCTCTGTGGTGGTTGACTTTTCCCCCCGCTCATCTATACTGCCTTTGCTGGCATACAATAAATAAATCTTTTCCTGGTGGGCTAACAGAATCTCATGGATGCTAAACTAAGTGCTTTAATACCCTTGTTTGCCACCTTAGCACTGCCTACCTTTGACAGCGTCCTCTTTGTTAAAGTGTCCTCATCTGACCTCTTTAGGGAGGATTGATTCTGTGTCTATCAGGCCCTGACCAACACTCTCAGTGTGATAGTCAAGTTTAATTTTCATCTTGGTTGGCTTGGGAGTCACCTAGGGACTTTGTAAGACACATTTTTGGATGTTTTTGGGTAGTTCACAGAGGCATGACCTTGGGTCTAGATTTGGCTCCTGTGTCTTTCCTGGCTGCCACCCTTTCTATCCTGCTCTTCCTCTGGTTGCCATGAGGGGAGCAGCTCTCCTCCACCAAACCCTTTTACCATGATGTTTCTGCTTTGGAGCCAGCCAACCATGGACTGAACCTTCTGAAACTGTGAGTCAAATCAAACCTTTCCTCCTTTAAATTGCAGATACTGGTTATCTTGTACATGCATCAGGAAAGCTGGGTAATACACCAAGTATCTATACAAGACTCCAGGTACTGTCTGAGAAATCTCATTCTCTCTGTCTTTAACCACTAGCATTTCATTCAGTGCCACTGAAAGGTAACTATTTTAGAGAGCACTAATGTGTGGCTATTTGATAGTAACTTCATGGCAGGATATTACAGTAAGTTGGGAAATTATGATAAAGTACATGCAAATACAAAACAGAATACAATTAACTGCAAAAGGATGTTTTGTGAAACACTGGGCCTCTGGAGATCGAGGTTTGAACTCTTGAGTCTTTCACATTAAATGAATACTGCATGGTAAATGCTTTAACTTCACTGAACTCAGATTTTCACTTATGAAACAGGGAGGCTAATACCTAACTCATAAGATGCAAACAGACATTAAAGTGCTTTTCTCACTGCAAATTGAATTGTGATGGTGATGATGATGATGATGATGATGATGATGATGATGACGATGACTTGGCAGGTAGACAGGCAATGGGGCCACTCACACATAAACTATGAACCAACCCCCCCAAACCTTTGTAATTCAAGAGAAAATTCTTTAAAGCAGGAACATTAACCCGCTTCAGAAAGTCTAGCACTGGAAAACTGCTTTTCAAAATTTCTCATACACCACTATCTGAGTAAGACAGCCTCTTCAAGGCTAAGAGGCATTTTCTTCTTCTCTGTCTCTTACATTTCCAGGCAGGTGGCCAAATAGAGAATCAATCATTTATGTTTCTGTGTTCCTTAAAGAAAAACCACTGGGAGCTGAAATGTCAACATTCTTCTCAGTACCTTGCAAATAATGACACACAACTGTCTGGGACTGAAGACCCCTCAACAAGTTCAGTGCATCTGACAGGAGCGTTATGGCAGGACAAACTCACAGGGCTTTGGAGAACTTGTGGTTCTGAGGGGTGATGGGTGGAACTTTCACCACAGGCCTCTCTCTCTCTCTCTCTCTCTCTCTCTCTCTCTCACACACACACACACACACACACACACACACACACACACACACACAAGCATGCATACAAAAGGTTGGCAGTTTGCCAGGCTTCATCCATCTCGCCTGGCCCAATGTTCATCCTGAGGGAGATTTTTCAGGGACAAGAAGCCTCATATCCACTAAGACCTTGGTGCACCCATGAAGGCAGGGGGCCATCAGGCGCTCTGTGGCATCAGTGGCAGGTGCACACGATCCTCTCTCCTCCTCAGCAGACTTGTGAGAGTCAGGTCTGTGTAACTGGAAGGTTCAGTGGCAACATTTCCTTGATGTCTTTTAATTAAGCATCATGAGGAGCAAATCTCCATTTATTTGCCTGCCTTCTTATACAACAGGAGGAACTTCAGCAAGAATCAGGATTTAGGCCTTCATTCTTGCCTGTCCCTAGGTCCTTTAGGTTGGCAGGTGTAGCTCTATTTGACACAGGAGTGTGAAGAAGTTGTACACAAGAGACTCATCTCTTCGGGCTTCTCTCAGCATGATTTGCCTGCTTGTGGACAGGCTGCATTCTGATCTGATGCTACAGTTACGAGGTCTACTGTGGGGCAGCGAAGGGGTTGGGGGGATCAGGACGACTGTGGTCATCAAACTCTCACAAAACAAGCGACATAACCTGTGTCATGCAAGGATGCATCTAAGCTCTGCCCTCCGGGCCAGCATTTATCAGTTGTAAAACTGTACTTTAGAATTCTTCTGGTCTAATTGCTTCATCTATTTAGCATTCATGTTTGAACTTAAAAGAGTGTTCAGTATTGGACAGTCTTTAAACTAAGAGCACTGCTTAATTGTTTTAGAAAGGTGTATTTGCCCTTTTCAAGGTGATGATCTGTGAGATCACCATTTTTATACATTTTATACCTTCTACTAGATACATAACTATTACAATAAAATTTGTTTTCCTTACTGCTTAAAACACAAAGAGAAGGTAATGCATATAGAATAGTAAAGAAAACTTTTTAAAAATCCTGATTGTTTGAGTCATTACTACAGGGAAGCTTCACATTTGCTATACACATTACACTGCTAAAAAACAGCACAAACAAAAATAATCGCTGTGGCTGATTAAGCATCAATGAAGAGAAAGATGATGCAGAGAGTGCTTTCCAGATTTTATCTCATTTACTATTACTAGGCACTAGGCCAGGAGTGGTGTTATTTTCTGTTTCTTATAACTCAAAAGTATTTCACTGCCACGTTGTATCTTTATGGACTATTTAAAGATATGAAAAATACTCACGTAAGTATTAGATTAGGAAAGAAAGACAAACCCATGGTTACCAAACCATGTAAGAGATAATCCCAGTGTTCTTACACACGAGATATGATCTAAAATAACAGTGAATGTCTGAATTTAACCCTTGCCCCAAAGTCCCTCCTCCAACTCGGAACACACTTCTCCCACCGCTCCTGCCCCTTTCTGAAGCAGTTCTGGAATCCTCTCTGGTGAGTGTCTTTAGTCGCAGTGTCAGGGTTCCATCAGTATCCTGAATTGATTCAAAAGGTTTATCTTTTGTGGTCATTTTGACTTTGGGGAAGGGCCACAAGTCACCAGATCCAGCAAAGAAGGGGCATGAAGACACACCTCAGTGTTTTTACAAGCCACCTTTTCTTTGGATGCCAGTTCGCAGCAGTGTTCCCCCTATTTTTTATCACATGTAGTAAAATAAAGATACTCAGAAAGAGGACTTCTAGTACTGCCTCAGAAAGTGGCAAGAATATCTGGGCATTGTGGCACGTGCCTGTAATCCTAGCACTCGGGAGGCTGAGGCAGGAGGATCACTGTGAGTTCAAGACCAACCTGGGCTACACAGTGAGTTCCAGGTCAGTCTCAACTACATAGTGAGACCCTGTCTCAAAAACAAAACAAAACACCCAAAAAAACAACCAAACAAACAAACAAAGAAAGAAAGTGGCAAGAATAATAGGATAAGTGTGTTTGAAGGGAAGAAGAGTATTTGAGGGGAATGCAAGGCATTGTGTTTTTTACTGTAATAAATTGCTTTGTGCAAACATTCACCATACATTTTGGTCATCCCTTGGGCGAGTGTAGATTATACACAAAACATTGACATTGATTTTCGTTGTGATATTTTGGGTTATTTCAGTTTTCCTCCTTATACTTCTCTATATTTTGAAAATAATTTGTAATGAATGAGTTAACTTTACAATGAGCAAAACACACCAGACATGATTTAAATGTGTAAAATACTTTCAGTCTTCTTACTAAATCATTTGCTTTTCTACTATTTTAAAATCACTTAAAATATATGGAAATAAAAATATGGGACCAAACAGAATTTTTGTAGCTATTTTAGGGTTTTTAAGTAAAATAATATGTTCTTTTTATATTTACAAATTTTCCAATTTAAGATTTTCAGTGAAAAGGCTTCTTTCGTTACAGCATTTACAGACATCACAAATGTCTTTGTATTATCCCAGAATCCCAACATATTACCTTAAAATATTATTTTTTCTTCATTTTTAAGTGTTTGGAGTGTACTTATACAAATTACAAAAATGAATAAAAATCAGCTTACACTTTAACATCTTTTACCATATAACAAAATACACAAAATTTACTCAAAAAGCACAGTGACAAAAAATGCATAAAATGTTCAGGTCTAAACAAGTTAATAATTTTGTATTTTTGTTTTTTAAAGGGGTCACACAATAAAGTTAAATTAAAGATGAGACAGTAGAAAAAAATATAAAACAAGACCTAACAAAGTACCTCAATACAGGGTCTGCTCAATTAAGATTTGTTCCACTGCTGATTCTTTTTCCAAGGAGTAAATAAGGTGACTCAACCATGAACCAAGCGATTTACCAGTAAATAGATAAAGGTTATTTATATAAAAGTTGCAATCACCTCTCTCCCTTCATCACATTAAACCAGAGATATTTTTATAAGGAAATGCATGCACAGCACCTTGAGTTTCATCATGGAATCTTGACATAACTTGTCTCCCCGAGCTGCGGAAACTTCATCAATCCCGATCAGTTTGGCTTTGTACCGGACCCCTTCACCTTTGAACCTCTTTATCAAAGTGGCTTCACTGCGATCCTGACCTGGAAACACACACAAAAAAGGTAGATTTAGACACAAGGTTGCTGGAAGGAATCCAACACTCCAAGGTTCACTCTGGTTTCATCTATATTCCCATAAAAGCAAGTCACTGGGCACAGGAGAAAAAAAAAAAGTAATATTCCTAGATGCAAACTGTGGCTCTATCCACTTAAATCTTGAGGTTAATTGCTTCTCTCCAAGTCTCAGTTTATTTAGGTAGAAAGAAAGTTAAAGGGGCCAGGAATTTAGCTCAGCAACACTGTGCCTGCCTTGCAAGCGCAAGGTCCTGAGTTTGATCCCCAGTATCTTCCCCTGCAGAAAAAAGTTAAAAATAACCACCCCAAAGGGCTGGGGATGTGGCTCAGTGGTGCAGCACCTGACCAAAAAGTGCAAGATCCCAGTTTGACTCACAGTACCAAAAACACAAAACAAAACACCTACCCCAGTGGGGTGTTATGATAAATAAACCAGATAATATGTATACAGCATTTGATTTTGTGTTTGATATACAGCAGGTACTCAACCAGTGATAAGCACCTACAACAAGTGTATGTCCAAAAATCTTGCAGGAACATGACCAGCACTGAGTGTTCGGTATTTCCAGCATTTAACTGTTGTCTGGCCAACGTCTAAGGCCCTCATTATGTTCAATTCCATGGTTGCTCTGTAGTGGAACCTCAGCATGATAACTTTACTTCGTGGAACGACCCAGGACAGTGATCAGAACGTGGTCCTATGGTATCTATGCTGCTAACTATACATGTAAAGAATTAGGCTTCCATGCTACTTGGTGTTGGGCACCCACATCTTGCTACAGGCTCTCTCAACAATTATCACCGTTATATTTTGCTAAGAGACTTCAGCCTGGGGTTTCACACACACCCACAGGAAGCAAGGACCACGACCTGGGAAATTGCTTCATGACAGATGTGTTGTAAGCCTTAAATGCATGCTTCATGATAACCAAATCATTTTCACTTTCCAAAGATGAAGACAGTCATGGAATTCAGGCAGCTCCTCTAAGGTTGGAGTTAGAAACAGAAAGGACACAGGAATTCAAGCCACTCTCACCTCACCACACTTTGCTAGTCAGAGGTCTGCATTTTGCAACCCTGATTCCTAAAACCTGGAGCCCCAGGGCTGATAACTGGCTCCAGTGGTATCATTAGCCCCAGTCCTGATTCTTCCTTTCTTATGCTTCTCCCTGTGGTCAGAAATTCAGGGCTCCACTTATCAAAGCCAATGTTCCCAATTCTCTCCACCTACCCTGTGTTCTGTGCAAACCACGGCATTTCTAGAATGTGAGGTTGAGAATCATCTGAGCACATGCTTAAAACAGAAATTAAAAAGCCCCCAAACCAAACAAAAACAAAAAGCAATGACAATAGCAAGCCGTAACACAGTGTTTTTCCTTTCTTTGACAAAATATGATTTTCACTTCGTTCACTTATGTGTTCATCCCTTCCTGAGTGTCTCTTCTTGTGCCAAATGCTATTACTCACTGGCAACACATGAGGAAGACACAAATCTGTGTCCCTAGAAGACCCAGTTTGGTGACTGCGAATAAGAATGTAGAGTGCATTATTCTGCACGTGTAAGAAGGTTTCCCCTCTAAGTCGCCTGTCTGAACTTTAGTCCCTTCTCTGGAGAAGGACTGAGTAACTACCTCACTGAATTCGTACCCTGTGGTTAGTAACTTCAATGACTGCATGTGAATCATGCATTCATTCTCCTGGTAAGCTCTGTGGACATGGTGGCTGTAATCTCTATGATCAGCCCTGTGGGAGTCACACTGCTGGAGAAAGGCAGACACAGAGGAGGGGTGTCTGCAGGCCAGGTCTGGACATGTGGTCCCTAACTCCTAGGTATCATTTTTATCCACTGCACCCTCTCAGGCCTAGCATTTCAAAGCCTTTGAAAGTGTTCCACACAGCGAACAGAACACAGAGATGATTAGTCAGAGACTATAACGAAGGTGAAAATTTTGGGAGGGCAGATGTCAGAGACTCAGGCTGAGCGCATCCGTCATGATTTACTTTCTGTGGATGTCTAGTTAAGCAGCAGGCCCCATGGTGCCATGGCCCCCTCTTCCTGCCTTCCACACATATTCCTGGGCCACCTACACCTACCTGGTCTGAGGTCATCTTGCTCTATCTCAAATACCATTTTTGTTTCTACAATACATGAGACCGTTTCAGCCCTGATGACCCCCTTTTACTAGTGGGACCACACCACCCTCAAATTGTAATAACATTTCCAGGCAGCCTTTATCACCCAGCACATGGCACGTATCAACTTGTTCAGCCCTGGAAGAAAACGCTAGAGGAAGGTGCCATCAGGCAGATTTTCCAGACAAGCAGTGAAAGTGAGGATCTGAGAGGCTGTGTAACTTGTCCAAACTCAAAACAGTAGGACCCGACCTGGACGTGTCTGGGGCCAAGGCTTAAAGTTTGCCTATTCCCTGTGTTTTCAAAGCCATCTTTTTAGGCACTGTGACTAAAAGTTCCTCATCTATTTGGCTTTTCTGTAAAGCCCCAACTTCACCAAAACTCACCTGACCCAATTCTGTTGTTGTTAAATATAAATACACTAGTGGCATGATGGCTCCACTGGGGATGATGAGGCAGCCTGAGAGTGGAAATACCAGCTTTTAGCAACCAATCACGTCCAAACACATATCTACGAGTGAAGCGCTAAGACAGCTATAGATGTGTCAGGGCAGAGCACTACTGAGGAAGGAGATTCTAGGAGGAGGCAGAGCCAGATCAGGTGAACAAGGGCAAAGATTAATAAGAAAATATTAGGCCATTGCTAGAAAAGTAGCAAGTCCAATTTAGATTGGGACCCAGGGCCAAGCTAATTTGTATGAAGGGCACTTATGTAGTAGATAATCCAGTTTCTCATTAAACGTTCCACCATTAAAAGGGCAATTTTTCACGAGCACACCTTGAGCAAGGTCCCAGTTATATTGGTGAGAAATAATTAACAGATATCGGAGCCATATTGCTGTACTGTCACCAGAAGCACACGCAAAGGAGGGTGTGGCCACAGGGTCAGTCTTCATGCATCCGAACCTATCACACATCCCAGTCAACTGAGAAAGCGCCACTGACTTTATGCTTCAGGAGGGACAAGAGAAAATCGGCGTGTTTAAGGAAACCATCAGTGTGGTTGCTGCTTGTTGTTATACTTGCAATACCAGTCACTGTGCAGAGAATGTCACACGGTGCCACTTCTGCTGCCTGGGGTTCCCAAGACACTGTAATGGCCACCTCCTTATATAAGACAACACTGGTGGAAAAAGTCAACAGCAGAGCCCCCAGATTTTAGAACTGCTTTACTGAGAGGTGATTCACCTACTGTAACATTCCCCTCTTTAAAGTACACAATTCACAGGCTTTAGTACAATCACACCACCTGTACTACCTTACAGTAATTTCACAATAATTTTTATGTCTCCAAAAGTATTCCCTGTCATGGACCAGCCCCACCTCTGCCCCTGTTCCTTCCAGTGCAATGCACCCAGTAATCCCTTTCCTTCTCTATAGATCTGTCTGCAGCAGCACTTGGTATCAGTGGAGTCTTACAGTGCATGGACTTCTGTGTCTGATTTCTCTTACATTGACAGCATTTCCAGTAATTTATACCTTTTCTTTCCGCTGAACACTATTCCACTGTGTGGTTATACCACCTCAGTTGATGGACACTTAGGTTGTTTCCACTTTTTTAACTACTATGGATAACGCTGTTTCAAACATCTGTGTACAAGGTTTTGTGTGGATGTTTGTTTTTGAATCTCTGAGTATTATGCCTTGGAGAGGGATTGTTTAACCTGTAGCAAACCACAAAGGGTTCCAGTTTCTTTACCAGATGTCCTTCCCATCACATTGTGATTGTCTTACTTTAGCCATCCTCTGAGCACTCAATGAAATTTCCCTGCAGTTTTGATGGGCATTTTCCTAAGAGAACGATGCCCAGCAGTTTTTCATGTGCTCATTGCCCCTTTGCATATCATCTTTGGAGCAATGGCTATTTAAATCCCAGAGCCTCAGCCTGAAGCCACGTCATGTGAAAAATGGCAAAGTCTTAGCCATGAGGTGATGGGGCTTTCTGGACCTCACCCTGCATTCTGTTAAGGTAGATCACACTTTTTCCTTTGTGCCACAGTCATCAAGTAGATGTCCTTCAGAGCCGAGGAAACCTGCACATGTCTGAGGATTTTACAAGTTTGCATGCCCAGTCTTCTCACACCTTAGCTCATTTAACCTCCCTAGGTTCCTGGAAATAGAAACCATTGTTCAAAGATACTAAAGACAGAGAGGCAACTGAAGTTATTCTGTTGAGCTGGGATAGTAACTCACACTGTCCTACTCTCAGGCCTGAGTGCTTCCATTAGGGGACAACAGGGACTAAGGGTCTAAAACCTGAGCTCTGGGGTCAGAGGTCTTGAGTTTAGCTGCCAGCTTTCTCAGCCACTTCCTAAACAGTATCACCTTGTAAGTCCCTTCATAGATGATGGCACCCTGGCAGGCATTTAGTGCAGATAACAAGTGCGCCCCTGTGGGGTCACTGTGAAGACTGAAGAAAGGACATGGGCCAGGGAGGAACAGAATAAGCCCTGCCAGTGTTGGCCATTGCCACTTAGGTGATCACATTTCCAGGTTGTCTGGGACCGTCCCCAGTTTACACCTGTTGTCTCAGCACAGTTGTCATCAGGACTATTCCTTACTCTAGAAAGCATCCAGCTCAGATGATAACTTGTACAGTAGTCCTAGTTATACCATCACCATGCATGGGGCCTCTGTTTGGGCATGGGCATGCTGCAGGTGGCACCCAAGAGAAAGAAGTCTCCTCTTCTCCTGTCTGGAGGAGGCTGCATTCCAGAAGGGGACTCACAGGGTAAACACACACACAATTTGACAGAATGTGACCAGGGCTGTGAATGTCATACAAAGCTGAGGAAGAAGCATTATTTCCTCTTGGAGAGAATTGGTAAGAGCTT